CTCTCTCTCTCTCTCTCTCTCTCTCTCTCTCTCTCTCTCTCTCTCTCTCTCTCTCTCTTCTCTCTCTCTCTCTATCTCTCTCTATCTCTCTATCTCTCTCCCTCTGCTGTTCTCACCCCTCTCTGTCTCTCTTCCTTCTACCTCCGTACCCTCGTTCTCTATCACGTAGACGTAGTAGAAACGGGGTGTTCAGTGGGAACCAGCTTTCTGTTGTACAACGCATACACGCCGTAGTTCGCAACTGTTACGTACGTGTCTCACGTACGTACAGGGTGGTACGATACGAGAGAGAGAGAGAGGGGGAGAGGGAGAGAGAGAGATGATGAGACACCCCGTGAGAAAAGGAAATTCGGAGGCGGATAGTGCCACAGGGTGAAATCTTCGGAGAAGTGTCCGCCATTTTCGCTCCATTTCCTACTGATATACTTTTCTCTTTGCAGAAATCGAACTCGGGGCTTAATTACTGCGGCGCGCGATAAGATAAAAGGCCGTTTTAGAATTGTTCAAGAATTAAGATCGATCTCTGGGGTCGGCAGGTTGCTCAGGTGAAAAGATCGGCGAGAGGTATCGATAATGGATAAAGCCGACTTGTCCGTTCGGGGCCAACACTCCTGGGACAGAAACATCGATTTACGTTGTTTTGACACACATACGTTTTATAAAGCATTAAAATTACGACGGATTAGCGCGAAACGCGGGAATCTGGATCGGAGGAAATAAAAATAGCCGTCTCTAATATTAACGCGTAATATTGAGAGCGGACCCGTATAATTCACGTCGGTGCATTTAATTATGGAGTTGTTACTCGAGACTTTCGCGAGGTTTTATAATACGCGACGTAGACGCGAATTAAAATTCCCGCGAATAACTCACCGCGACCAAGCAGCAGCGCGTCGCGGCTAAAATGAGAAGTCGACGCGATAAATCGGTTTTCTCGAATACCGATCGCATTAAAACAAGAAAGATCAGCCGCGAAGATCGCTAGCGAACGATCTCGACGAAACGGATGAACGAAGTAGCCCCTCATTGGTTTCCCCGCATTCTCGCCGGATCTCTCTGGTGGCTTTCATTAATTCCATATCTCTCTCTTCGCGTTCCCTCGCGAAAGGCTCTACTTTGCAGGACAATTCGCAACTCTTACGCTCCCCCCCCCCCCGAAAAAAATCGCGCAAGAGGACGGCGCCGCCCTCCCCCCCTCACCCAGTCAGTAACTGTTACGTTCCGCGAGAGCTTGTCTCATTTTCGCTCTTCGTTTCGAGTCTGCGTGGTCCTCTTCTGTGTTCTCCTCCTCCCCTGTGCCTGTACAATTTTGCAAACAGTCTTCCTTCTTCGTCGTCGTCCGAAGATTGTCGTCGACAGGTCGCCAACACGGAAGATACCAGCCGAGAGTCTCGAAAGTAGGGAGAAAGAGAAAGCTGCGAGCGAGTGCGCAGAGCATCGATTCGATCTGCATCCGTTTCGCGCGCGAAAATGTAAATGTTCTCGACCTAACCAAACGGATAGACAAACGCACCACGGAGGACCCGGGCAAGTTTTTGGCCTTTAACCGTTGCCTCGGTCTCCTCTCGAGGAGACTCGCACGCGAAAGAAAGACCGCGCGCCTGGCAGGCCGCGAGGACCGTTCCCGCTCGCGTTACAGTCCGCAAGACGAGTCGATCATTGCAAGAAGGACGCGTGTCAATTTTTCCTCCTCCCCGAGAACAAGCGAAACGATAACTTACCCGGGAGACAGAGAAACGCAAGTGCCTCGAGGAAAGTCAAAGAAATTCGCAATTCGCTGAAGAGAAAGGGAGACATAGCAGTTCCCCCTTTTTTTTCTGGAAGAAAACTTTGCACGGTGTTTCGAATCGCATTATGTTTTATCGTCGGAAACACTCTGGCTTCCTGTCGCGAATAAATTCAGCGAAACGACACGTCTGTTGTAATTATTAATTACGCGCCGAGATAATTAACGCCAATTAACAATTACAGCGAGAATCCTTTCATCTTTCTGGCACGCGCTCCTCTAATCTGTAATGGACGCTCTTTTTGCAAAAGGTCGCGCGCACGCGGGCGGGAACTCCTCTCGCACCCTGTATATTTCGCTGCGATTGAACGCTGGATTTAGTTGGTTTTCCCTTGTTTTTTCGTTTTCTGTTTTACCAGGGACAACAACCTACGACCCCGAGTCACGTCCCCGTATCCCGTGTCCCGCTTTTTCCCCGACGAAATATATTTTTTGTTGAGACACTCAAAAGCTTGGAATTGGTAGAGATCGACGTGGCGGTATCTTTGACGATCGAATTTTTCACCGTTGCGTTCTCCATCGGCGATTCAAGCGCGAATTTCCGAGAGTACGTTTTAATAGAAATCTGAGACAGCTGTTACGTTTTCGCGAGTCCGCGGCGACGAACCTCCGGGGATTAACGATCCGCAAGGACATCGGCAAACGAAGTTACGAGGTCGAGTCGAAGATTTATATAAATGTTTTTTTTTGCCAACAAAGAGAGAAAGAGTTTTTGAAATCCCGGTGTCTCAAATTTCTATGCTATCCGATATGCCCGGCTTCTCTTCCCCCGGCACGTCGACGAGGATGATCGATCGGTTCGGCAAAGATACCGCTGGCGTTACTCACATTTTAGTTACTTTAGTTTTACCATAAGTTACATGAGCCTTAAGTCAGTGTGCGACGCCCCGTTTTTATGTTGTATGATTTCTTTCTTGAAGTGTGCTTTTCCGTTTTGTGACCTTGTCGTTTCTGTTCCGTTGGGCTAGTGGAGGAGGAGGAAAGCAAGCGCACACACGTGGGTTCAATCTTAACGAAATGGAGCGCGGAATTTTCGTAACGCCGGGAAACGATATCGTCACCATCGTCAATTGTTTCATTCGATAGTTTACCATCGTGCTCGGCCCGAGCTGCCACCGCGCCGTTCCTTTCCTGGCTCGCAGAAACTTCACCGCGGTTCTCTCAGTTCGCGCATTCGGGGAAACTTGGGTTCGGCGAATTTCCGGATTTTTGATTTTTTTTTTTTTAATTAGATCTCGGACACCGCGCGGATTCACGAGTCCTCTAATTCCTTGGATTACGCGAGCCCTAAAGGTTCCTCGCGTCTTCCCCGGGCGTTTGGATTTACGAGCCATTAAATTCTCGAAGTCGCGACGTCTCGGATTTTTTTAGACTCGCTTTGAGACGCTTTGTTCCAATTGAATTGAAGCTTGTTTTATTTACATCCGAGGGCCCGCCCGTTTGTCGCGTTCCCGGGGCTCCCGAAGGTCCACAGAGCGGCTGGTCCCTTTGACAATTTAATGCGTAAACGATCGCCCCGCTTAATCCGAGGTCCGCAAACGCGAGCGAGCGTGCGAGGGAAGGAACGGACGGGAACGGAATCAGGAGGGACAAACAGAGAAAGAAATTATAAACGGGCTAATGGTTCGACGATACCAAATAAGACTGATGAGAAGTGTAAACGCAAGGTGTGTGTCTATCGGTTTGGTTTTAGCCCTGAGCAACTGCTCTGAGAGCGGAGGCGAGCCGGACGCCATGCTGGACATGCACCACCCAGGAACCGGGATCGACTCGCACCATCCGCAGTTTCACAACTCCTATGGTAATATGAAATTCATTATAATAGTAATTAAATCCTACCCTCGGCCCTCCGCGCGCAAAATTCCGGCGACACCTACGGTTTCTCGCGGCGCGCGCTTTCTTTTCGCTCGTCCCCCCCTGGTCCTCTCTTCGACCACCGCGCGATCGACGCCCCCATCGCCGACAATACGACGGACGAGTCCCGCTTTCGGATCACCGCGCACTTCTGCGACGAAGATTAGTGGGACACACACGTCCACTCGTCCACGTTGAAGAGCTATTTCTTCCCCTCTTCCTCCCTTTGTTTACTATTATTCACAAAAAATTAAACGAGAAACAAGAGTGGCCAATGCGAGTCAAGGCAGGATGTAGGTAGCCTATATACTTGTAATTTTTCGTAAATTGTGAATTCATATACCGTTCGCACATCATGAATTCACATATTAGAAGTTACACATATTACAAGTACAGGCTATCTACATCCTGCCTTGACTCGCACTGGCCATTCTTGTTTCTTGCTTAGCTTTAATGAGAGAGTCGCCAGTAGATTTTTGTCCCCGCTATTTAACACGTCAGATTCCCGCACGTCGACCGGACGAAGCCCTCGGGGGTGAATTAATTCGACTTTACGCTCTCAGAATTCCCTCGTGTTTTCACGAGCTCGCGAGGTAAAGAACGGAATAATACAAAGCTTCTTCCTATGGTCCTTTAATAATTCTTAGACGCAAATTGGGTCACGAATTTCCGTCATTGGACCGAACGAAATTAATAATGACGGCAGCTGTTCGACATAAGAATTTAAAGAGCTCACTTGCTCGGCGTGTCGAAATTGATAGATTCCATCAATTTGGATGTCGATTCGCGGTTTTTCGAGCATCGCTTTAATAGCGTTACCGTTAAACGTGTTTGCGGGAATACGTTATTATGTACAAGAGGGAGGCGAGAATATCCCGACGATCCTCTCGCGGCGTTATCCGAGTCGTACCTACAATAATATCGAGGAGCTCCGGCTTAACTTTATTATAAGTATCTTCGCAGCGCGGAGTTTTCGCACGGAAATCGTATCGAGGGCATTGAATTACCCGGCACGTCAAACGTATAAAGCGTATCTCGTCAATTGAATTAATTATCCGTAACCGACTTGCACATGCCGTCGAATAATATCGCGATAACGTCGTGTCCATCATCCCCTCGTTGATTTGACATCTTCATCCTTATCCCGGGCAATTTTTCTACAGCGAGCACTGCGCCGTCACCGCGTGCGCATCGTTTGCGTCGAAATACTCTCTCTAAAAGTCAATCAGTGAATTATCACTGAAAACTGTGAATAGTTGCCCATTTGCAGTTGTAGCAGCAGGTAGAGGAAACTCTCGTATTATAAGTTACAAGTTCCTAATATGAGACAGCAGGGTTTCATTAACTAGCATCGTCTATTGGCTCCACCATTTGTTGTCTTTGGAGTGAAATCTGGTTTAGTAGAAAATCGGAGACCGCTGACGCAAATCTTGTACACCGATGCCCACTAATGCCCGGTGGGCATTACTTTATCTTATTGTTAGTATCTTATTTTATCTTTATAATGTCCCAGCAAGGCTTACTGCCCAAAAAATGCCCGGTAATGCCGCAAATCTGTACACCACACTGCCCTCGTGGAAAATTGATTGTTAGATCGTGTGATCGTCGCGAAAGAAGATTTGCGATTGAACTTAGAAAACCTGCTGTCTCACATTAGCAGCCTGTCTCGTAATAGGGGATTTCTATATCACTTAAAGCCGCAGTGGTGTACTTGTAACTTTAAGGGCCAGTTTCGCAAACGTCGGTTAACTGCTAACCGAAGATTAATTGAGTCTCTGTCCTCTTCTTAGATAACAAAGTGGAAAAAGATAGGAAGTTGACTGAACTCTGGCTAACAGTTAACCGACGTTTGTGAAACTGGCCCTAAATCAGTTGACTGTTCACTGTTTTCTGTCATAGTTCACTGATTGACTTTAAGAGAGTATGTTGCTCCAACCTCTCGGTAAATTAAATTCATATGTCTTTGTTTTCCCTTCAAATTAGACAAACATAGATGCACAATTGAACTATTATTTATCTTACCAAGAGGTTGGAACAACCGGCCCTGAATCGTGGGTTTTGACTCGGAGATCGCGCGCCAGGCAAAGAACCCGGGCATCCAGCCGATTCGATCCGCGCCCCGAAACATATGTCTCGATGGGGCTCGATGATTAAATGAGGAACAGCTCCTTATCCAGCGCAATCGAATTAATTAATCGGCCCCTCGCTTTTACATCGATCTAATCCGTTCCGGTGGATTGTTGAATAATGCGCGATCCTAATCGAAGTCGACGCGCGCTATTTCGATCCCATCGGCAGCGAGCAGACGTGAATTTTGAATAAATTTCAGAAGAAAGCGCATCTCGATTACACGGCACTTCGAACCGATCGGCTCGCCAGATTAATCGACGCGACTTCCGATGGATTTTTAAACCGATCCCACCGCGATTCAATTTATAGACGTATTCTGTGGGGCCGCGACTCGATATGCATTTCGTGTCCGCGAACGTTCCGCTTCGACTAATATTTTCATTCATTCGGCTAATCAGAAAGATGTAGAGAGCAATTCGCTCGCATCGGATTCCGGAAGTGCACCGCGCGTCAGCGAATACAAAAGCCCACCTCTCGCCGGGCAAATTATGCGTTCGCGTGCCATTTTTCCCCGCAGCCTGCGAAACTTTCGACAATTACGCCGCGAAATATCCGTCGCGATATAAAAATACGATCGCGCGAGGCGTCGCCCCCCCCCCCCGCGGCTACTCGAGACTCCATTCTTACCGAGTTCTACGTTCACGGTTTCAGCTTGCTATCCGTAGAGGACAGAATCGACTCGCGAATTTCGCGAGGATTCCGAAGTTCGGAAGCACGAAAAGCTCGCGGCCGAGAGCCGTCGCGAGCTTTATCTCGCGAGGGGCAGCGCCGAATCGGCCC